TGGTAATGAAGATGCAGAACTGCTTTATTGCCTTGACTCAAATGAGGTACGAAGCAGATTTGAATGCATTACACACCCTAGAAACGATAGTGAGATGACTGCCGGCTGGCATACAAAAGCGATGGGCTGAGGAGTCGGTGATAATTAGCCGTTTAGGGAGAGAACCCAATTTCACCGATTTAACGGAGTTCATCCAAAATCGCGCCAAGGTTGCTAGCAGCCGTTTCGGACAACTGACCAGTATGAGCAGGCTGGAAAAGGGACATCACGTTAAGGAACGAACCTATGAGATCCCGAAAAGTTCTAGAAACGCAAATAGCTATGCAACCGTGGGGGAACGTAGTACACCCAGATGGCCTTGTTGTTCGAATCACGAGTTATCTAAGTGCAATAAATTTGTGCAACTGGGAGTTCCGGACCGCTGGGAAGCAGCTAAGAATCATGGTGCGTGGTTCTATCTGTTTGAACTGCTCACATCGTGCGGCCGCTTGTAGGAACCGTGGCAGGTGTTATGTAAAGGGGTGTCAAGGAAACCACCACACCCTCCTGCACTCTTTGAGAGAAACTCAGTTACCGGCACTCCAAAAACCCAGCGTGTGTTCCTACTGTCTCAGTCGGCGCAAAAACAGGTACGACGTGGAGTAACGCCAGTTGGTATACCAATGCCCAGCGGGGTGGTGAAGGCGATGGCGTTCATTGACAACGGATCCGACACCACGTTATGCCGTACAAAACAGCATCGCGACCCGGTCATCTTCACTGACGATCAGTACAGTGAATGGCATCAAGGCGACCAAGCGAAAGTGAAGTTGTTTACACTAGACAATGCTGAACGAGTGGATGTCACGGAAGCCTTCACCATCGCCGACCTGCCAATGCGAGCAGTAGAATCTATTGGGCAGTAAGCAACGCGCTGGCCGCACCTGCGAGATCTACGTTTTGAAGGAGCTGACTCTTGCGAAGTCGATTTGATAACCTGATACTTTTCTGTCTGGTATCTTGCCTGATGAATGCCTCCAAATTTCAGCCAGGTTGTTTCTAGCTTTTCTATTTTCACTCTTGCTTCCTACACATCTGGTCTTCGATGAATCTGTTTTGATGCTTCAGAGCCAAATCAGAATAACCATTTTTATTTCATTTAAGGTTTAGGAACCCCGTTTGAGCATTTTCGCTCAAATGGTGTCGGTATTACGTGGACTAAAATTTCCTCCGTACATGTATTGTGACCTAAGTTCTAGCATGCAACATATCGCTCGAATCATTCTCAGTAAATTCCTCCGACCTCCCTCCGTGGTATATGCTAACCTGATAGGTGTGCCCACTTTCACAACCAATTCTTAAGAGTACATGGATTAAGTTTCACAGCCGGATCTGTGGAATTCAAACTCTGGTGCGCACTCTCAGAAGCATTCTATCGTCTTACCGTGCTGCAAATCCAGGCTATGGTCTGACGCTATATTCACTCCGGCACCCCATCATTTTAGTAACACGTGCTAGGTGTGCGCTTATTTTTAGTAATGTTTTGTCGCATGCTCCGTTTCCCCTTCTCCCTTCCCTCGTCAGCTGGGTACTACCCCAGACTGCTTCACATCGCCTCTTTGTTCCAGATTAGGTTATCTTGGGCCTGCCGAAGTCTTGGGGTCCTCAACCACAATGGAGAGTTTGGCTCCGTCAATGGTTGTTAGACACGGCTGTTTCCACCGTTTTGACTACATGCGTCCGCGTTCCGGACCAGGTTGAGGATCACGCCCCCTGCCTCACCTACAAGGTGTTTTAAGGTTAGATGTCTAGCGTGTAGCCAGTCCCACATCAAAGCGACCAAC